TGCCATCCTATTTAAACAAGCCCTGAAAATGAAATCTAATTCTGGAAAGTTATGCACTAGTCTAATTGAAATAATAAAAACTAAATCTATTAAGGATTTATTTCAGGAAAAGATTTCAGGAAAAGATTAACAGATTCAGGAAAAGATTAACAGATTTGAGACAAATGATTATTTAATTTTATTTCAGTTCATTTAATTATCGATTTATCCTATGTTTTTATAGTGAGTATAACACACAGCTTTAGCACAATTCCCTCAAATAATTTAAGGATTCTTATTTGGGAGTAAACACTATTTGCTATGAGAGGTTTTATATGTATCACTACATGTATTTGGGCAGTGACAAATTAATCACAGTTTAGCTTAGTGTGTTGTGGAAATCCAGCCCAGGTATCATGTAAATCCAGAAAATTGAGTTGAGTAAACCATGATTATGGTAACTATGACTATGCTTGTTGTGCAAATGCTGCCATTGCTTTGTTGAGTATATTCACTAGTGCAACTTTTTTCAAATTTGATGAGTTGGCTTACAGTTGCTATTGTCACCTTTAGCCATTCTGACTAGGATGAACTGTGATCAACACATCTGACAGAAACAGTTTTCAGTACTGTTTAATTGAGTTTTAGTTTTTTCCTTAGAGCATTTCCTACTTTAGTTCTATTTATCTAGGCACTAAGCAACTGATCTGGAACAAATGGCATAGTTGGGTACAATCCAATGGAAAATACATCTGATATCAATGAAGGCTACATCCTATCTCTTCATTATACTTTTACTACTGTATAATGAATCTTACCCTGAAAAAAGTGAAAAATAAAAGTTGTTTCTTCTTTTTTAGAATTTATAAAAAGCTTTCTTGAAAAAGAAGCTAGGTAACTATTTTATTGGTATACAATTTTTTGAAAATAAATGACAGTTCCCTGATGTCCATAGAATACAAAATATCCCACCCACAAATCTTTATATATGCAAAGAAAGCAGCATCCTCATTCTGCATAAAAATCTGAAGGTATTAAGGTTCAAGAGAAGGAGGAATGTTTCCTAGTATTAGTAGGATCAATAACGTAAATTAGAAAACAGCAGTGCCAGCTATGAGTCTTTTTAGAAAATTTGCATATAGGGAATATAGATTTCTGAACTGCCTACCATAATGTATTAAAAATTAAAGTTGTTTTTCAAAAAAAAGTTTCATTATACAATTATTAAATATTTACTTGTTATTTGCGTTCAACACTCTGTGACACAAAAATAAAAATATTTTGTAAATAAAAGTGTTACATTTCCATTACATTTTTTTAAAAAATCATCTTGTAAGGAAAGAAATCCTAATTAATCTAGAAGGTGGAATCATGATCTTATCTGGAATTAAGCCCCGTGATAATAAGAGAGAGATAACTTGATATAGGAATTGATAATAAGTAAACAAGACATCACGATAGGTTTAACATTACAAAATAACAAATACGGGATTGTATTATCAAGTTGCTGTTAATTGTTAACAATACATTTGCTTTTACGCATCTATACTGATATGCAGTATACAATTGTTAATGATACACCATAGGTATATAAAAACATTAATTGTTAAGAAATGAACTAAAATTCCTAGCTTCGTTAAGTCTTAATAGGAATATACATTATGTAATGCTTAATTTTTGCATATAAATTAGAGTTAAATAAGTGATGAAGATTTGAGAGCACAGTTCTCTCCTGATCTGCATTGTTTGAAAAGGTTGGAATGAAGTGGAAAGATTCTGCTTCTAGTAGCAAAGTAAGCTTTGAAGGCAGTAAGCAGCTGCTCTCCTGACTTTAAATTTCTTCACCCACTCTCAGTAGAATAGAATTTAAGGGGGAAAGGAAACCTTTATTTTGTTATTTAACAGCAAGTATTACTGTGTAAACAAATCACTGAGTTTGGGGTTTCCCTCCCTTTAAATGATTGTTCTTGGTCCTCAAAAGCAAAAAAATAAATAAAATGAATGAACATTAGTAATTTCCAACAAAATACCACACTATGTTTCTCATATTTTGTATTTTATAATCTCAGTTTAAAGATCCCACAAAAAAAATTTAGTTGATCAGTTAAGATTTTTTAGAGCTTAATAGTTATATATGTTTCTCCTCTTCTAGGGCCATTTTTAAAAAAAAAATGATATGCAGCATATAGCAGATGATTTTTTCCTTGCATATCACCTACAATATAAACTTACAATAAGAGTTATCTTCAATAGTTTGTCTTTTATACTCAGCTGTATTTAATAACTACAAGATCACCCTTCTTTTCCTTTAATTAGCAGTCATTCAAAGCCTATGTACAGCCCGCAAACTGATAGCCTTAAACAAGTACCAAAGGCTTCTGACAAAGAGATACAAGGAACGAAAGACGCCCTCATTCAAGACTTGGAAAGGAAACTGCGATGTAAAGATAACCTTCTGCATAACGGGAACCAAGTAAGACAATGTGTAGAGAATACCTATAAAAGGGAGGCTATGAAACTACCACTTAAGATGAATTACTCTGAATTTTTTTCCTCACTTCCCTATACTGATTCATTAAGCTAAAACCCAATTCTGAAATATATGCATTTACAAGACATCTGTATGTTGATGTAGCTACTTGCCCTGTTCAGTGTTTCACAAGATGACCACTCTCAGGATTAATTGAGCAGTATGTTTAATATTGTATATACTGAATTCAGAATTGGGATAACTCTTGATTTCTGTCCTTCAGAGACTGTTGAGCTTTGTCAGCATTAGAACATAAGTTCTCATTCATGCACCTTGATATGAATTATTTCTTGACTCACCAATACTTACATCTTGATCAAAAGCCACTTACGGATAATAGGTCTGGGATTAATATTGGGACATTATCCAAGAGGAAAAACTGATCCAAGAAATCAGTTCCAACTTGTGATAAGAATGAATCCCTTTTGATCAGCCAATTGTGAAAGAAAGTACAATTAATTCCAAATAACATGGGGTAAAGCTGAAAAGCACCACCATGTATTGTATGCCTACCATTTTCCCTTTATTATGACCACAATAATTTAGATAAGTGTTCTGACATCATTACCCTGTGTTCCAGGGGAGCCACCAAGGGAGGAAGTGGTAAGGAGGGGGAGGAAATTGAATTAATGTGACAGGAAATTGAATTAGATTCTAGAGAATGGAGAAAATGGCCGCAACTCTATGCTTTCTATATGTATAATTCATGTTACTGTCAGACCGTTACTGTCAGACTTCTGAATGCAACATAACACCACAATCAGGTTTTAGATGATAGACCTGCAGGGCCAGCACACCGTGCAACATGTTTATACCGATGTAATATAATATATATACATATATGTATGGGGAATGTGTGCTGGTTATTGCTTATTTGGGTCTAGGGATTTCTTTTTTCTTTTATTTATTTATTGAGATGTATTCTGTGTTTTCTGGGAGGAGGTGCATTCATTTAATTTCACTGTACACATGTGCATTGACAATAAAGGCTTGGTTTGTTTAGTCTTATCCATCTAGTGCTGTTGCACTCAGTCCATCTTTCATGTTTCATTATGAATGAAATTACAACAGATTTGTATTACATTAAAGTTCCCTTTCATGTGTTATCAAAACTAAATCTAAGCAAAGTGAGTTTACTTTTTTTTACATAAGTGTAGATATCAGAAGTTAATGTAATGTTTTATTCATTCATTAGGTAACCTATCAGCTTAGGTGAGGCATTTTCCTATCCTCCCTGGAATTGTGGGGTTTTTTTTAGTACTATATTAAGCAAATGTTTGATTAACCATGGTTTATTTAATTAAAACAGGCTGGGTTCACTCAACATACTAATCGTTAAACTACAGTAACTAGGATCATTTTACATATAGACCAAAATCAAGCAAAGTGTGTAGTTGAATCTTGCCCCATCCGAGCTGCTATATAAAAATCCTACCACCACGCCTCACTGCAGACCAAAGGAAAATGCTTGCAGTATCAGTGCCCCATTCATATAATATTTTCATGTCATGTACATTTGTTTCAACATATTGGAAATAATTTATTAGTTCCCCAGGGGAGAGGGAGGGAGGCCGAAAATCTATTGAGCCCTTTGGATTTTTAAGGTAAATCTGAAGTCTGGGAAGTGGGCTGTCACAATCACTGTCACAAATCAAGTTTTATTGTATTTTTAAATAGGCTGCAGCTGAACTAAACATAAATTGGTTTAACTTCTAAATGTGGAAAACTGAAAATAACCATATGAAAATACTCTGGGTACATAAAGTCACATGTGTATTTGTGTGCTACCCTTTTAGTAACATGCAACTATTTTTAAACAACTAGAAGTCCACCGTTAATATTTCTTTTAGTAAGGCCTAATGCAAATACATGGGACAATATCAGTTTGCTTGTGCAATGGGATCCAAAATAGAGGGGGGGGGGGTTACTCAATATATACAAGTTTATTTCTTTTTCCATGGATGGAAGCAGAGATGAGTTGCTCCCTGTTCGGCCTGGATGGGGCAAACTGGTAGTAGTGGTGGTGGGAGGCTCCGCCCATGCACGCGCACGTAAGCAAACTAGTAAAAAAAAAATGAAAATCCACCACTGGGTAGAAGAATGAGAGGCAGTTGTCAATAAGATATCTATACTGTATGATCTTTTTTTCACAGAAAAAAATGCAGTAATACAGTATTCTTAATCATAGTGTAGCAATAAGTTCCACTGACTGAGGTGAGCATCCTGCATGTCACCGAGGTGTGATACCTTGGCAACAGTAGCGGGTTGCAATCTCTCTTCAGAGCAGAGAAATACATAATTTCGTTTGGTGACGTGGTTGGTATTGTGTTAAAAAGGAGAAGTTGAGGCAAAACAGAACTATTCAGTATCATTAATTATTACCTTCTGCATATTTAATAGTTTTGTCCATCTCATGTTAACAATTAGCATTTGCTACCTACTTTCAGAAGGAATCTGGATGCCATAACTACTTACTGTGGGGAAGGAGGGGCAAGAAAGGAGGAGCCCACTCCTGCTTTTTATGCATACTTTTTGTTAAAATGTTTAAACCAGGAGATAAAAGCTAATACAAGCTGACAGAAAGTAAGAAAGAAAAAAAAGAAAAATAATAATAATGCAAGCTGGCATCCTTCGGGGTGCATCATATATTACTTTTCTTGGAGGAATAATAGGGCTGCATTTAAATAGCCTTAAACTTTCTTAATCCAGGAAGAAGCATAGAAGCAAACTAGAACAAAGGAGAAACTTCCTAACAGTGAGAACAATAAACTAGTGGAACAGCTTGCCTGCAGAGATTATGGGTGCTCCATCACTGGGGGCTTTTAAGAAGAGGCTGGACAGCCTTTTGTCCAGAATGGTATATAGGTTGTCTGCTTGAGCAAGGGCTTAGACTAGAAGACCTCAAGGGTCATTCCCAACTCTATTCTGATTGATTGATTGAGTTGTAGTAGAGCTAGCCTGGAAGCAGCTATGGAGCCTTCTTCAAGAATTTGGTCTTTTTCAAGCAGTTATTTATAACAACAACATGGCAGCAAAGGATCCCATTGATTGGCTCACAAAACACAAAGCTGTCACCAACAGGGTATCTAATAAAAACATCATGTATATGTTTTTCCTGGTAGATTTTCTTCTTTTCCCATTGTGTTGCTTAATGAAGATGTTATCTTTTACTCAGAGAATCCCCATAGTAAAAGTATGCTGTTTTCACATCTCACATCTGCTAACGATAGTGATTAAAACGAAGTTGTTTGTTCTGCTCTTTATCAAAGAAGAGTAATTCCCAGGAACTGTGTTATACTGAATGGAAATTTGAGTGTTCACTGATTTTCTTTAATGTTCACGTTCGCATTTCCTTTTCATAAGCGTTTAAGCTACGAAGAAAGAATGGCTCGCAGGTTACTTGGACCAGAGAATGCTGCATCTGTGTTTGTATCACAGGATGAACAAAATGCACAGGACGCACAAGTAAGTCTGTCTTATTTTTTTCCCTATTTACCCAAAAGCTGAACTGAAATCCAAACTCTCCCCCATAATCATACAAAGGTAGCAGACGTTTTCCTGAATGCAGTACAGGTAGTCCTCAACTTACAACCACAACGGAGCCCAAAATTTCCATTGCCAAGCAAGACAGTTGTTAAGTGAGTTATGCCCCATTTTATTACCTTTTTGCCACAGCTGTTAAGTGAATTGCTGCGGTTGTTAAGCGAATCATGTGGTGGTTCAGTGAACTTGGCTTTCCCCATTGATTTTGCTGATCAGAAGCCAGCTGGGAAGGTTACAGAGGGTGATCACATCCCAGGACAGTGCAACAGATAAATACATGCCAATTGCCCAAGCACCCAAATTTTGATCACATGACTATGGGAATGCTGCAGTGGTTGTGTGAAAAGTGGTCATAAGTAACTTTTTTCAGTGCCGTCACTTCGAACAGTCACTAAATGAATGTTTGTAAATCAAGGACTACTTGTATTTGAAACATAGCAAGTTACCGAATGTGGAATGGAAAGAGAGTGACTCATTTCACAGAGTATGCTATACATCATGGTTTGTTGAACAAGTCACGGTCAAGTTCACCCATAATACAATTTACATTGTTTACAAACCACAATGCCTAAATTCATATATTGTGCTGAATTAAAATGAAACAAAAACACATTAACCTAATGTATAAATTTAAATTGTTTATTTAAAACATGGATGGAGGTAGGATTTGTCTCCAAGTTGTCTGAGGGATAGAAAGATAGGAGAAAGGAGCCATTATCTTTACTGATCCTGAACTCTTCCATTACAGCTTATTGTTACTTAAGCCAAAACTTCCCACACAAACTGTTCCATGCATTCAACATTCAACATCCATGCGTGGAACTGCTTTTTGCTGTGGTTTGTGTCCAAAACGTGAAATGTGTTTTGCTTAGACCATGAACTCAAAATGTTTATTCCAGATACAGTTCCATGCGTGGAACTGCTTTTTGCTGTGGTTTGTGTCCAAAACGTGAAATGTGTTTTGCTTAGACCATGAACTCAAAATGTTTATTCCAGATACATACGTTGTGAGGTTGGAAGAATGAGAGGGAAGGCAAAGTCATCACTGGTGGCTGAAGGAAAGTGGATACTTTCAAGTGCAGTATATCTCCCTCCCTTTTCTCCCCCATCTCACCACATTCGTGTCTCCACCTGCTCTTAGCTGCCACATGTCCATCACCCTTAGATTCAAGGACGGACGGGCAGGCAGGCAGGCAGGTTGGAAATGCTGAATTTGGGGTCAGCAAAAAGCTATAAGGAGAGAGGGGGGGGAAAAGACAGAAAGAAGATCAAATGGCCGGTACAGAGGCCATGGTGGAAAGAGGGAGGGAAAGAGGGTATTATAGCTTTGCCCTTTTTGTCCTCTTTGATACTTTCAAGTCAATCTTGATTCCTGGCCATTACCGGGGAAAATCCCTGCAATTTTCTTGGCAAGACTTTGGAAGTGGATACAGCTGAGTAACTGGTCCAAGGTCAGCTAGTTGGCTGACTGATTAGCCTGAGATGGGATGAGAATTCGTGGTCTCCTGGTTTCTAGCCTAGTGCCCTAACTATTACACTAAACTCTCTTTCTTTAATCAAGTATGAATGAAACAATTGCTTTGATATTTTAATATTCAGAGTACCTCACAAAAAATAAAGTATAAATTATTGGTGGTTCGCTTTACTATTGTTTAATTGTCCCTGTCTAGTTTCTTTAATTTTGTCCATACTTAGAGTATGCAAATCAAACACAGAAACTGAGGGATTTACAGGAACCTGCAAGTCTTCATAGTAATTTGTTTTATTATCATCATTATACTATTACCGTATTTTTCGGAGTATAAGATGGACCTTTTTTCCTCAAAAAAGAGGCCGAAAATCTGGGTGCATTTTATACACTGAATACAACATTTTTTTGCCTCCTGAAGCCCTGCCCCGTCACCAAAATGGCCGTGCATAACCTTATGGAGACTTTCAGAGAGCTCCTGGCGGCTGGAGAGGGCAGAAATGAGCAAAAAATGGGCCGTTTTTTGTCCCCTCAGCACCACTCTATAAGCCTCCATAAGGCTATGCATGCAAATTTTTTTACAAAAAACGGGCCCATTTTCGTGAAAAACAGGCCGTTTTTTGCTTGTTTTGGGAGGCCCCAAGAGCACTCTGCAAGCCCCTCCAAGGCTATTCATGCCTTTTAAAAAAAACGGGCCCGTTTTTGTGAGAAACAGGCCATTTTGGGAGGTTTGCAGAGTGCAAAAACTTTTTTTCCCTTTTGGAAAGCTCTTTAATTGATTGATGAGAATTACTTTGATCAAGTGCTGTGCCAGCAGAAACAANTTAATTGATTGATGAGAATTACTTTGATCAAGTGCTGTGCCAGCAGAAACAAAATCTTAGGTGCCGCAGATTGTCAGCGATTTCCTTCTCCAGCACATGGATAAATACACCTGGAAACATCTACCTACATATCTACTCTCTCTCTCTCTCTCCCTACCTACCTACTGTATTTCTCTCTACCTACCTACCCACCTACCTACACCTGGAAACATCTACCTACTACCTACTCTCTCTATCTCTCTCTTTCTCTCTACCTACCTACCTGCTATATTTCTCTCTCTCTCCCTCTCTCTCTCTCCCTCTATCTACCAACCTACCTACTCTCTCTCTATCTCCCTACCTATCTACTGTATTTCTCTCTCTATCTCTCTCTATTTCTCTCTCTCTCTTTCCCTCCCTCCCTACTGTATTTCTCTATCTCTCTATCCCTCTCTCTTTCTCTCTCTATCCCTTTATCTACTTACTTACTACTCTCTCTATCCCTACCTACCTATTGTATTTCTCTCTCTTTCTCTCCCCCTCTATCCCTTTGTTTACCTACCTACCTCCCTTTATTTTTTTAATTTGCCTCTTCAAAACCTTGGTGCATCTTATACTCCGGTGTGTCTTATATTCTGAAAAATGTGGTAATTATCTTACTAGTATCCATCCAAGTTAAGAGGCAAACATGGAGTAAATAGGGAGAGAATGGAGCAAAAAGGCATGGACTCACAAACTCGGACTCAGGGTGCTTAAGGCTAGAGCATCCAAGCAGTCGCAGGGACTGAGCATGTTCTACATAAATCATAACAATGCATTTTCATACAAATAGAAGGAAAGGCTGAGGGGGGCGGCATTGCATTTGTCCAATGAAATGGGAATGAGGTGGTTAGATTTCAAATACATAACATTTGTCTCATTAATTTATATAGCAAATACAAAGACAATGTAATAAGGAAAGAAATTGATCAGAGAAAGGACAACAAAATATTAAGTTAAAAATTTAGTTCTGGTGATTCCTTTGCCTATGTGTTGCTTCTGCAGCTTTTTCAGCCTCTGGATTATTTCATGTTGACTACTTAATAGTTGGTGGTAGTTATATATTTATTTACAAAGTAGAGAACAGAGCCAATTAAAGGGTTCACTGACAAAAGCGTGCCCGAGGAAACCGCGGTGACAAAACTGCGAGTTCTAAACCGCGCTGACGAATGAGTGCTGAAGCGTGCCGACAACAGCGCGCTGACAGAAGCGCGCTCTAAACCTAACTCTAAACCTAACCCTTACCTTAAATTGCGCTTCTGTCGGTGCGCTGATGATGTTGCGGTTTTAGCATCACGGTTTTGTCGGCGCGCTTTTGTTGTGCGCGCATTTGTCGGGTCACGAATTAAAGGGCAAAGCTACAATTCATATGAAAGTCTTGATGAAGTTAGTCTGGTGTATTTCTCCACCGCAAAAATCAGCATTCCAAAATACACTCAGCACATATAAAATTTGTCACTAATTTTATACCTTATTATGAACGTTGTACACTGTCTGAGTTGCACTACCTACATTTAACTGTTCTTGTCATCACTAAATAGTTTGAATTTCTTCAAAGTTTGCTTCAGAAACAGATTATTAAAATAATAAGTTGGTCAGGATATTTTAAGCCAAAAAAGTATTTTTTAAGGTTATGTAGCCACTTCATGCTGTGTAAGTTTTTGTCAAAGCTCAGGTAGCCATGATCTAACAAGGAAAATATTTTCCAAGTTAAGATGTGTTAATTGCTATTGGAACACTTTTGTGAGCATGTACAACTCTCTGCTCTTGCCAATATTCTATTGAAATGACTCGACTGCTATTCCTGCACTTCTGAAGGACAGTATGTCCCTAGGTCTTATTTTAGTGATTGAATAGCCTCTCTTTTCTAACAAAGACTGTGTGTTTCCCAAAATACTGTACACTATGACAAAAAATCTATATCATTCTATAGGCACACATATTTCTCCTGTGAAGGACAAGTAGCCCACTGTTCTGTCTTAAGGATATCTGGGGAGAAGCCCACAAGTGTCACATGAGCACTCTGAAACCCTCCTACCATAGTCACAAGAACTAACAACTGAGGTTCTTACTACGTTAATGTGAAAGTGAAATGCTGGTACGGAAGGTTGTAATTTTATATTCTATTAAAAAAGGGCCTGTGGTTACATTATTCATTACCTGGCAAGTTTAAGTACTTGAAGATCTGCAGTTGAATTCTGCAGGTTTGCTGAATTCTATTACCATAATGTAACAATCACTTACGTCTTTTTGTTTTCAACAGCACAACATGGAAAGTGTACGGCTGCAAGTTCCTCAACAGCACGTAAGGTACTGGCTCTTGGTATGTTTTGATACGGCATTCTATCCAAGCAACATTTTGTGTGAAACACTCGTTCTGCTATACTGAACGCTGCACTGAACAGTGAATGAATTACAAAAAAGCTGAATGTATTAAATAGGTTTTGCTACTGTTAGATTATGCAGTTTAAGATGCAGGCATAACAGTTGTGATTCAAATCGTTTGGACATTTAGAAGATGACAAATTCTTAGAATAAATTATAATTGATTTGACTTATGGGGAAATTATTAGGGCACTGTAATACCATAAGCCTAGGGGCTTCCATCTGTGAAATAGGGACCCATTCTGAGAGTTTTGTTACTAGAGGGGCAAACCTAGAAATAATTTTATTCTGAGAAGGTGATAATTTAGCTGCCATGCAGTGGAACTAACCTTGTAGGCTGGGTGGCTTAAGGTATGCAAGAAAGGAAGCTTATTTAGAAATCATTTTATTGCCTATTTCATTTGTAATGTAGGAATAGGCCATCTTCAAGGGGAGAAAAAAATGATCAAGGCGTAATTCAGGAGAAATTTTTTCCACCACGCTTCATACAAGTGCCTGAAGATGTAACAGTTGAAGAAGGAAGATTCTGTAGGCTTGATTTTAAGGTAATAAATGAATTCTTTCCAAGTGTTTTTGAGACATAATTAATACTGGAAAATAATTTAATTTTTTTTTGTTGTTGTTAAATTAAAATTTTGAGAATCCAGGACTCTCTTTCAAGCAGGATTAAAATAGGTGGGTTTTAAAAGGTCACATTTGGAACATGATGATCCTGTATTTTTCCCAGGCATCTGATACTAAGAAAGCAGATTAAGCTTCTCTCCATTCTCCCCGAAACTGCATAATCTCTCTTTAAAGCCGTCTAAAACTATTGACCCTCAGATCTTCTGGTACCAGATTCCATAGGTTAATTATAGAATTTTAGTAAGAGTGATTTAGGATAATGGCCAAAAGCTTTCCCGAGCAGGTTAATCATCCATTGTCACAAGCATTTTTTAAAAAATTGTAGCTGTACAATGCTTGAATCAGAATATTGTCTGTTGTGAGTAGAGTTTGGTTGTAATGTTGTGGTTGTTAGTAACCACATACATTGGAGAGTTGGCAGTGAGGTCCACAGCAATAATCACTGGCTTCATAATGATTGTGACTGAATGAGTAGAGCTCTACCCTTTTACATGCATGCAGCGTATGAAACAAAGATTAAAAAGATGTTTTGCAGGTGACCAAAAGGCTGGCACCCACCATTTTGAACTTAGTGACTTTCACTGCATATGGCCCTTAGATTAGAGTAGAATTTTGCCAATATTCTTTTCCTTTACTTTTCTGTATAGCCTTGTTTGCTAGTGGATAAGAAATGTGAAAGGATCTCCAGGCTACAGGCATTATACTGGCGATTTCACAGGGCAATTTGTGTGACAGAGATATTCTGGTCTAGTCTTGTAGGCTTGTTCCTTCTGTCCTATTTTAGGCTGTACAGATAATTTCATATAGGTAGTACTATATTTACAGTTCAGTATATTACGCAATAGACCACTTCTTCTATATACTGTATTTAAAAAAAGAAACAATTCTATGTTTTTTCTGCTGCTTTGTCAATTTTTTACTTAAGCACTAGAAGTTCAAATCAGCAAACTTTAAATTTTAAAGAATTTTAAAATTTAAATAATTTCAATTACTTTGCCTAATTTCAGCCATTTGGACTAAAACTTGTCCATTTAACTGTGTACCTTTTTTTTGGTAAGTCATACCCTGCCTACGTGTTAAAGCTGCTTGTATTACCACATTAGTGCAAATGGAAAATAGATGTTTATAACACACAATTTTGGTATGTTGGAGCACCATGATCTTGTCCAATTTCCAAAACACTGTAGTTTGCCATATATACATGATATGTGCCATGTCCTAAATAGAAGTGTTTACAACAGTATAGAATTTATTTATTTACTTATAATATAAACAAGAAATAACAGCATGCTTCCATGTAGATTTGCCCTTGGACATTAAACTTTCCCTTAATTCCTCTCTTTCCCCTTGTAGGTCAGTGGGCTACCAACCCCAGATGTGGCATGGTACCTAAATGGAAGACTTGTCCACCCAGATGATTTTCATAAAATGATAGTATCAGAAAAAGGCTTCCACTCATTCATTTTCGAAGTAGTTCGGGTCTATGATGCAGGAACATGGGAGTGTGTGGCTTATAACCGTGCTGGAGAAGCTTCCTTTTCATTGAAAGTAGATGTTATTGGTATGAGAAGGCTTTGTATGCTTGGAAATGGTTTTTCCTTTCAACAGATGTAATATATCATTATATACTGTATAGATTATTGTTATTATTGTACACAACTGTGAAACTATAGCTTCCGGTTCTTTCGATGGAGTTGGAGTGGGGCTCAGTGTAGTGTATGTGCAATGCAACCTTTTGTTAATTGGCAGATGGAATTTTTGTCAATGTGTAGATTTTCTAAGCGCCATCCAAGATTTTTTTGGAAAGCGTGCCAATAACCATACTGTTGTTGCTACTGTTTTTTTTTTCCTTTCCATTGTATCTTTCAATTATATTTGTCCTTGTTTAGCTACTACAATTGATTTTATTGTCAATAATTTTATCAAGGATTATATTAAGCAAATATGTTACAGTAAAAGTATAATATAGTACAGCAATACATTATTTCTATTTTTTATGACAAAAAATGCAGAGGGGAAACATAAGAAAGTTGCCCTTTCATCCCAAGCAAGTATAATCAACCTTAGCTACTTATCATTGTCTCTTAAAACACAACCAAACACTTAATTCATTCTATACCTGGTCCCATTTACTATAAGCCCACCTCTAAATCTTCATTTCTCCCTATTAATTAGCAATAAGGGTCATCAGAAATAACAAAGTATTTATTTCTCCATTTTCATTTAAACAAATAGCCCTTAGTCCTGTTCTTCAAATAGTCAAAGTCCTGTCCCGAATAAAATAAAAGTAATTGAACATTACCAAAGGTAACCATTATCCAATCCCAGTTTTTTTTAAAAAAAATTAGACCTCACCAGAAATAATAACCCATTATTTATATTATCTAAAATAACAAGAGATGTTAACACAAATAACTATTATCATCCAATCCTCATCAAACCACTAGGCACCACCAAACATAGCAATCCCTTATTTAACCATGATCGCATAACCCAATTTTGTAGTTTTTCTTTCAGGATTGTTCAGTCCCAGAAAGAAAATTATAATATTTGTTTTCTTAGTCTCTTTGTCTCTGCTCTCAAAATTTTTGTCATCTTTGTCAGAGGTAATCCAGTATAGTACTTCCAATAAATCTTGAGTAATGCTACTCAACACTCAACACTTACAACACTCTTGATTTATTACTTGAAAAAAAATTGTTTGTTTTTAAATCATCATCCAGTTCCATTAGATTAAATTTTCATTTCTTGTGGGTTGTAATTTTTGAATCCACCTTAAAGTCTATTTTAGTTTTCTTTCACTAGGGCTTGTTTCTCTTCAATAACACCTTTTTAAATAACTCCAAAACCCTTTGCACCCAAAATTTCTTGTAAGCTAGCCATCTGATGCCCTCTAGTGAACAACTTTCAAAGTAATCTTTATCAACTCAAAATATAAAGAGAATTTTCTCACAAGAGAGGATCTTTTCAATTAACTTCAGTCTTTATTTCAAATCCATCTGACCCCTTAATCTATTTAAAACTTTATGAGATCAACGCTACACTCACCCTTTTGCGGTATATTCCAAGAAATTCTTACAAAACTTTAAACAAGAAACTTTTATTTCTTTTTACACTGATTGAAGAACTTACACAGCAAACTTGTGGTTTCAAAGTTTTTTCAATATAACAATAAAAAAAAAATACTGCAGAGTGATTAAAAAGACAAGATTTGGTTGAGCCTTGAGTACATGGAAAGACAGCTAGCTCTGAGCTTGGTAGAATCCCAATCCCGCAACTCCCAACTGATTGTGAGACCACAAAAGCATCAATTTCTGCTGTCTACTCACAAAAAAACAGCTGTCTGGAGTACATAATGTGTGAGTAATCTCAAGATCTCTCCTCAGTCCAGAGATGATTTTCAGCAATCCAGGTCCAGCGTCCAATTGCCTTTATGGCCATAATGTCTGTTGCAATCTATAGAACGTCAGTTCACCATTCCGCACCAGAAGTGTCTCATTTAGCTCTTGCTTAATGAAATCACAAGCGTATTTGATCTTAATTCTGCTTTCTTTTGCTTTACATATCTACGAAGTTCATAGGTGCAAGGAGTAGTCATAAAATTACTTTATCATAGTTGTGACTGAAAACGGTCATTAAACAAGGACTACCTATCTGATCAAATATAGAGAAGTGAGGGCTATATGAGGCATAAGTTCTAAAGGTGGAGAATTAGCCCTCGTGATGTTGCTTCATCATCTATTTCAACTGGTTCTGCTAAAAATGGAAGATTTGCAATGTCTGAAAGATTCTCTATTCCTGCTCTATTCTTAGTGATGATGTAAGCATCATTGCAATGCATGTTGGATCCATAGCCAACATTGACATAAATCTGATACGCAGTGTAGATTCTCCTGAGATAACTTGGAACTGAGGCTACCATACGCAGTGAGCCATTTATTCAACTTTATTCATTTTTAACCATGTCAATGTCAGTTAACTTACTGGTTGGCTTGTTTTTTACTGTTCGCTTTTACTATTTTATGAATATGTGTGGTTTGTTTTCAGTTTTGTTTCTTAAAACAGTCTGACTCCTTATGTTTCTTTATTAAAAATCTCTAGCAAGAGAACACCGGAAAGCACCAGTCTTCATCTCTAAAGCACAAAGCACAAAAGTTTATGAGGGGGATTCAGCTAGACTTGAGTGCCTAGTGTCTGCTATCCCCCCACCACAAATATACTGGAAAAGAAATAACGAAATGGTTCAGTTCAACACAGACAGAATCAGGTAAGGACACTTCTGCCGGATTTGCATTTTTGCTGATTAGAAGTAAAGACAGATTCCCTGTGGCAGAGTCTAGTTAAAGGACTACAGATGTTATTGCCTCCTGCGATTCATTAGAGGAAAACTTATAAGCGCCTTTTCCACTGCTTTGTACTGCCTTATCACCCGGCACTCTATAGTCAACATGTAAGAGTCTGATCTTGCTTTTCTTCCAAGAGTGATTCGGTGTTTAGAAAGCATAGCTTATTAAAATTAAGACCTTTTAAAATGAAAATTATAAGTAAGTTCCTCTATTTTATTGTTTTTTAAAAGTGTAACGGTCCAGTCATTTGGAGTCAGCCTGTAAATTTAATAAAATAAATTGTCTGCTAGCTCCTTCCTGTCTATTTCATTATGGGGAGTGGCAACAGCAGTGATAATAATAGAATTTTGCTACTGGCTGATTTATCTTGCAAAAAGATATGGGGAAGCATATCTAAGTTGTGCACAGTGAAGACAGAGAAGAGGGATTTGTTCAGAGAGCTGCGTGGAGATTGTGCAATTGCAGAATACTGGAAATTGTTGAATTTGGGATGAAGAAGATAGATCTGCAACATGAGGTCTGATTTATCTGATAGGACACTAGAGAGCAGTGTCCTTGGGCTGCAATCAGTGATAAAAAAACATGTATTGGGCAATGAAACATTCAAAAATGTTTAACAAGAATGTGATACACGTATTAAAAGCTAATTAAGAGCAATAGTTTTTAGTCAGGTCCAGCTAAGGTAATTTTGTTTTTCCTCCATTTTGTAGCATGTTTCATGATGCTTCTGGCAAGGTTTGCTTGCTGATCCATGATGTAACTAAAAAAGATGCTGGTTGGTACACAGTATCTGCGGTCAATGAGGCAGGAGTGGCAACGTGTCATGCCAGATTGGATGTGGCTAGTAAGTATATTTTCTCTGCTGAGTGAATGTACTTTTATTTATACCTAGGTTGATCCTTAGCAAATGCATCCCTTCAGCTATATATTCCTTGATTAAATTACCTGCAAGTCTGCAAATCATCTACTTTGGGTTATCTTGGGTGAGTTAGAAGAATAAAGGTGATATAGTAAAATTGGGGAAGACCATGACATACTAAATTTCCATGTCGGAAACACCAAAACACTTCCATGTTGAAAGGATTGCTCGAGGGATGCTCCTTTCACGTCCGTGTTAATGAGCCCACCAAAGGGATACCTATTTTTGTACTTACATTTGTGTACTTTCAAGCTGCTACGTTAGCAGGAGCTAGAGCAAATGACGGGGGCTCACCCTGTCACACTTCAGTATTCATGCTTCGAACGCAGGTTTGCAAATTGTTCCTAATCATGTGAGCCACTGCGCGCCTAACACCACGGTAAAACTCATTCGAACTGTGTGTATTAACATACAATAATAATGCTGTAGCCTCTGGTAGTTCCTTCCCCTTTGCAAGTCAATTTGAACGGTCTCTCTTCATTTTGTTTTTCAGCACACACGTACAAACCACTTCCAAATCCAAAGCCGCTGAAGGTTCGACCAACTTTTAGCAAGTATTTGGCACTTAATGGGAAAGGTGTGAATGTGAAGCAGGCTTTTTTCCCTGATGAAGGAGAATATCAGCGTATGGCAGCACAGTCCGGACTTTTTGAGAGCGACGAACTTTAATAACAGAAAGAAAGAAAATATGTTTTGCCCCTGCAACAGACTAAGGAAACAGTGCACATAGATTCAATTTAATGGCAATAGCACTGCTTAGCAAACATGCTTAATATATTTTTATTTATGACTTAACTCCTGCTATTCCTGCTGCTTTGAATTTGATCAATTTCTACTAATGCGTGTGCTGTTGCAGAAGGAAATAGCAAATGTTTGTACTTTTGAGTTTAAAGGCCAAGAAACTGGGCCTAGTTCAAGCCAGAAAGTTTGAGTGCATCTAGTTTCAGTCACAAGGTTCTTATTTTTACTGCTTCATTAATATCACTTCCAATGTAAACATTTCTGCTGATTGATTAATAAATATAAATTTGGGTGTTTTTAATGAAAGTTTTATGTTCCGAGAAAATACTGAAGTTTTAAATAGAATATTTGCAATCGGTTTCATTTGGATTACAGATATAATGAACACTTAATGATCCTTTAAAAAATGATTAGGTTTGGGTTACCCTAATATTTTTTTACTCCACATGTTGTCTTTGAATAATTATAAAATGAAGAAGGTTCCTCTTTTAAAAGTACTCCTTATTTCCATGATGCAAATTAGAATTTTATCATGATCCCAGAAGGTCTTAAAAATCTTAACAATTCTGTAGTAGCTTTATGGTCAAAACTGTGTGTGTGTTTTAAATTAAGATCTAATTTTTCCTAGAGACAATTTCTTCTACTTATTGGGGGTTTCATGAATTGGGCTTCCTCAGAGTTTCTCTGTGCACAAAGTGCTTTCATTCTGCTCAGAAGAATAAAATAACCAATGATGCATCTTAAGGCGGCACAGCAAACAAAGGGCTCTTGGGGAAATTCTTTTAATAGGAATGCTAAAAATTCCACTTAAATGTTTAATTTGGGGGTCAAGAGGTTCTTACTGTAATTGGAGAGCTTTCAGCTAGAGGTCCTTTTATCTGTAGTGGATTCTTATGCCAAGTCATAACATTTACAAGAAATGTTAAAATCTCTGCTAATGAAGAGGGACAGCAAGGGTGAAATTGTTCCTTACATTTTGGTCCTGTAGAAAAAAACTACAGTGAAAAGCACTGAACAAATTTAAAAAAACTAGATTGTGACAGTAATTCCAAAGGAATAATGTGAAGAAACCTAAAAAGACATTAAGGGGTGGGGGGAGACTTGTTATTGATCATGCATGTATATCATCTAATCNCCTCTCGACTTGTATGATTGTGCGACTGTTGCTTATTTTTATTATTTGTATTTCGTTTTTATGTTCCCCTTTTTCCCCTTTTGAATTGTTCGCTGCCCTGAGTCCTCCCGGAGAAGGGCGGCATATAAATAATAAAATTCCATTCCATTCCAACTTTGGTGGGGCATCCATTCTAGTGCAAAGCAGCTTTCAAGTTCACGGCGTCCTTCTGGACTAATTGCAGGGGTTAAGAGTAGGAGGCACTGTGTTGCAATGCTTCACCTCCTTACCCAGTGGTTAATTCAGGAAAAAAAAAAGTGCAAAGAAGAGCAACTAAGATGATGAAAGGCCTGAAGAAGAAAACATATGAAGAACAGTTGCAGGATTTGGGTTTGGCTAGTCTAGAGGAAAGAAGGACTAGGCGGTGACATGATAGCGGTATTCCAGCATTTGAGAGGTTGCCGCAAAGAGGAGAGGGTCAACTTACTTTCCAAAGCACCAGACAGCAGGACAAGAGACAATGGGTGGAAACTAATCAAGGAGAGAAGCAATCTGGAATTAAGGAGAAACTTCCTAACAGAACAATTAACTAGTGGAACTGCTTGCTGTCAGTGTTGACACGGGAGGGAGAGAGATCACATTCACGGCCCCTCGCCTACTTCTCTCCTGTTTAACATATGAAACCACTGGGTGAGATCATCTACCAGTTTAGGGTTTGGTATTATCTGTATGGTGATGATATCCATTTTTACATTCCTATCCTGCGCTGTACAAGTGAAGCTTTCGAGGTACATGCCCAGTGTGGAGGCTGTTAGTGTCTGGGTGGGGAGAAAGAGACTTTGGCTCACTCCTGACAAGATGGAGCGGCTGTGGCCATTAGGCCCTGCTTGTGTGGTCCAAATTCATACACCACTCATGGAGAGAGATTGTTACCAAGTATCCTGGCTGGATGGGCAGATTCAAGTGTAGCAAAGCATTACCTGGTGTACCCTGGTGCTTTGCTATTTAAGATAATGCTTAGCCTAGAGTTGGGCCTAGAAGCTTTCTGCTAACCAGTGGAGCAATTTTAAAATTGGTATTCTGCCCAGAACAACTATTTAGACACTGGTTCATTCTGTATTAGTTGCAATTTCTATATTGTTTCCATGGCAGCGCCATATAAAATCCATTATAGTAGACCAGCTGATCAGGGATGTATTAGTCATCGGGGCATCTTGATTCAGAGAGAGTTAGAAACTGGAGCACCAAGGAGCCCATGTTCAATCCTGAGCTACGTATATTCCCTTCTACCAGTACAATAGGCCTTCTCCCTAGCAGCTCCAAGGTTTTGGAATATTGCCCCTCCACCCTTGGGGGTACATGTGGCACCTTACCCTTCTTATATTTTGAAAACAACTAAAGTCAGTACTACTATGTGTTCTAGAATTCTTCTGGCGCTGACTGATAATGGGTGGACATCAGAGGAATTATTGATTGTGCTGGATATAATTGATGTTTTATTTTGCTTTCTGTCTTTGTTGCTTTTATACTATGTTTTAAGTTGGAGTGTAGTTGTTGGCTGCCTCCACGGTAATTTTGCATAAGGCAGCTCATATAAAATGTCAAATAAATGGATTTTATTACTAGTTTAGAAAGGCTTCCCTTTAAGAAGAAAAAATATCACTAAACGCTAAAATACTGAATAGCAGAGTATAATGTTTCATAAAGTCATAGAATTCTCTGAAGTATTCTACCTACATTCTGCAATATTAATGAATGTATGATTTGCAGCCTTAAATTGATTTTCTCAATTGTAGCCTTACAACCCTCTACTTTTCCCCTTGTTCAGTTGTCCTTGTTTGCTATTGCTTTCAATGTTTATCGAACGATTGAGGTATCCAGGCTTATGGAAAATCTGCTCTCCAATTCAGATTCTTATCCAGACTTTTACTTCCTCGGATTTTGGCAGACCCGTTATAATAATATGATTTCAGTCAATGTCTTCTTTGCATGGATTAAGGTACTGCTATTAACCTAATTTGATGTCATAATGTGTTGTTTTTTAAAAAAAAAAAGTTAATCACAACAAAGTATAAAAAGAGAACAAAACATTCTAACCCCATTGTAAAGTTTAAGGAACATTTACATATTTTTTTCTTCACTCATGCTAATTTGATCAGGTTTCTACCCTGGAATGTGGCTGCTGTTTTTGCTTTATCAACAAGGTGACAGAAAATAAGAAATCACAATAGAGCCAGTGTTATAATAAACTTTTTTTTTAAAAAAAAAATACTCTGTAGCATCTACGTTGCCTGCCTGCCTGCCCATACCACATAGCATCACCTGCCTCCCCACTGATTTTCTACTCTGGGACAGTTTCATCACCCCTTCTCATGTCACAATCACATGCAGTCCTTGCGTAATTACCATAACCAGGGCTGCTGGTTGCAATTGATAACGTAACCTGTAACTCATGCTGAGGAAGTTCCTTCATATACATTAGGATGTAATCAGTGAGGGTCCTAAAGATTATGACCAGGCCTTATCAATCAGGGCTGGAAATGGACTAGAAACTGACAAATCAGTGATTAGCTGGGACAGTCTAGAACAGGGAGGTCAAACTCGCAGCCCGCATCATGTGCTGGACATGCCCATCTACAGTTTAGCGAAGGGGGGAAAAGTCACAATATGTCATGTGACGACATGAGTTTGACACCCTTCGTCTAGAATTTTCAGAGAAATAACCTGGGAATGTAACAGAAACCCTTCTATAAATCCTTTTGTGGACCCTTTTGTTCCTTTAGTTCTTTAATCTCAAACTAACTGGTTATACAGTTTAATATTGATTTCCTGGGAGAGATGTGAAAAGTATTTTAAGATTTTAAGATAAGTATGTGATAGAGTTGGGTCTTAGCCACATTATATGCCCTCTATTTTTTTTTGTCTTCCAGATATTTAAATACATAAGTTTTAACAAGACAATGACTCAGCTGTCTTCTACTCTGTCCCGTTGTGCTAAAGACATCATAGGATTTGCCATCATGTTTTTTATCATCTTCTTTGCATACGCACAGCTGGGCTACCTGGTCTTTGGATCGCAAGTGGATGAGTTTTCCACTTTTCAGAATTGCATGTATGGAACTTTCCAAGTTATCTAATACGGTTGTTTCACTGTGTCATTAGTTAGAGCAAGATTTTCTTTAGAAGATGGTCAAGGTACATGAAATACTTGATGCAGTTGGTCAACTTAAAAGCACAATTGAGATGGGAAACTTGGTCTTTGAGCAAAGCAGTCATACTCAATTCAAGGTTTCCTTCAAAGTAAATCATTTTCCAATTTAGATAACTTTTAGAAACAAATTGAATAGCTTTTACTTGGTACAGCTCTGGAAACAGGACACATAACCAGTGTCATGATCTCCCCCCCCCCCCAAAAAAAAAAAAAAGCCCAACATCTTCCTCAGTTTCTTGGATATCATTGTACAGCTTTAGGAAATTTGTTGGCCAATATCTAAAATAGTAAGAAATTATTTGGTCCAATTTCACCAAAGATAGGCTTGTAAACTAATGGTAATAAATCACTAGCAGAGGTGGGTTCCTACCAGTTCGCACCTATTCGGTAGAACCGGTTCATCAAANATTCCAACAACAACAACAGATGAAAAGTTGGCAACCTGAAGCTAAACCATTTTTTATAGCCTGGTTCCTCCCTTCTGCACCTCCGACAACTGCTCTTAAAAAGTGTTGGCATAGTTTTCTGCTATTTTGTAGTAGGATGCACTCAAAATCCATAAAATGAACTTAATTTAGGGGATAAAAACACTGATTCTACCTCCCAAATGAATTAGTATAAACAGAAAATGTTCTTCATTTAATTCCTTTCTCTAAAACCAAAAGAATGTTAAACACAACCTCTCCAACCACCCAAATATGCCATAAACCATGAGTTACAAATCAGTGGCTTGGATTCACAGTTTATAGCCAAAGTAAACAAACCACCGAAGCCACAAAATTAGGGAAGTGGCCCTACTCTGTAGGTGAACTGGGCAGCTTCTTTGGAGAGAAAGTTGGATGTGGATTTCAAAGCCATAGAATATAAAACAGTATGTGGAGAGTCTGGAATAAGAGGATCAATTTGTGGGTTGGGGAGGGGCAGAGAAGAGAGGAAGCAAAGGACATCCTCAGAGCTCAGCAGCATCAATGTACAAATCTGAAACTCAGATACATGATATGATGTATGCGTCATTGCAATTGGCTGCCCAGGCAGTGGCATTTCATTTGCTAAGGATTGTGGGATTACGGCCCACTGCCCAAGTTGCCTATATAAGTGATGGGAAATGGAGTGTGTCAGTCTTCTGGACTATGCTAATCGTTCTGCTTCTCAGAGTGGTGGCTTTCATGCTTTGTGAAAAAAATGCAGTGTTGTTTTCAACAATATTTTTGCTTCCAAAACAGACCAGTATCGAAGATTTAAGTTCCAATGATTATACTTTCTTCACTTAAAAAAACAATCAACATTAATGATTGTCAGTACTGAATTTCATAAAATGTAAGACGTCTAATTTAGTTTAGCGAAGTCAGAAACTGGTAATACATGTGGAATCACAGCTACTTCTGGGTTTGTAATTTTATTTTTGTAATTTTGGGTTTTCTTTTGTATGTTTGGGCCTGGGCAATTCTGAGCTTTCTTCCTTTTTTTATTTCTTTCTGAACATGACACATTAGCAGGCAATGTGAAGCCTCGACTGACTCATAGCAGAGAGCTTGAAATGAAGACGACTCTCCAAGAACTATTGATCTACATAATTTTTCTAACTGATCTATGTATATGTAAGTCCAGAAAAGGGAATGGATTATTTCCTACAAAAATTGTGTAATGAATTAATTATGTATTTCTCAAGCTGTTATAAAAAATTATTATTATTATAAGATATATATACAGATAGTCCTCTATTTAGATTCACAATTGAGTCCAAAATTTTTGTTGCTGAATGAGACATTTGCTAAGTGAGTTTTGCCCCATTTAACGATCTCTCTTGTCACAGTTGTTAAATGAATCACTGCATAGAAGGGACCTTGGAGGTCTTTTAATCCAACCCCTGCTTGAGCAGGTGACCCTATGCCGTTTCAGATAAATAATTGTCCAGTTTCTTTGAAAGCCTCCAGTGATGGAGCACCCACAACTTCTGAAGGCAAGTTGTTCCATTGGCTGATTGTTCTCACCTTTAGGAAATTTCTTCTTAGTTTTAGGTTGTTTCTCACCTTGGTTACTTTCCATCCATTGTCACCCATCCTGGCTTTCATATGAAATATGAAATGAATATGAATACATAATAATGTGAATCGAATCAGCTACAGAGCTTGTTTATACCACTCACTAGTATTTTTCTTGATTTGTTCAAACTATAGTGGGGAGAAGTAAAACTGGATTCCTTCACTAGGATTCTGATTTTTGTTAATGTCATAATGTAGCTGTGGGTGTGTATGCACATGTGACAGTTTAAAAAGGCAGCTTTAAATGCAATTTGATAATGCACTTACACAGACTGCTGATTCCTGGAAAAACTGGATTTATAACTGTACAGTATTCAACAAAAAATTCAGGAGTTTATAATTGTTAAACCGTTTTCCTATTTTGATAGGATAGATGGATGGATGGATAGATGACAAATAGGTAACACACAGATAACACAGTTTTTGAAGTAGAATGTGTGCATGTAAATCAGTCAAGAAGCAATCTTACAGGAAATTTCAATGCAATGGATGAAAAAAGTTCAGAAAGACAAGGGGAATGTCATCAAAGGACATCAGCTGAACCTTACCATATAATCATGGACAACAAGTTGAGAAGCTTGGGAGAAAGCATTTGCTCCTCCGAAAGATGTAAAAGATATAGAAATTTTTAAGGAGGAAGGAGGAAGCATACCTTGTAAACTATTTCTACATAATAACCAAAGATCTTGGATATAGAGCATGATTGCCTTTTTTCCCCTTCTGATATTTGCTGTGGCCCATTAGAAGTTCAGAAATCACATTTTTGGGGGGTTTCCCATGAATAAACAGGACAAGAGTGTTACCGCCCTGCTGTTTCATTTCCTCAGGTCAGATTTCTGCCTATTTTTCTCTGCAGTGACATTTGGGATGGTTAGCACAGATATGTATTACCTAAACAGAGTAATGGCCAATCTCTTCTTGGAAACGCCCCTCTCAGAGAAAGATAAGACAATCTTCAAAACGATGGGCAGCATCACCGACTTTTGGGAGGTAACGTTTCCTTTCCATCTTTGCTCTTTCAAAAACATTGGTTTCTTGGACGGGTTATACCATAGCTTTCTTTGATTTGGCCATTGTTATGAGGACTGGCTCCAGTTCATTGGGTATTTCAGAAGCCTTTGCTCAAAATCCTCCTGTTTGGTCCATTGGGGGTCTTGCTTTCTCTGATCAATTCCAGTCCCAAAAGAGGGACAGGAGTAACCAAGTATATCCAGAATTGTCTAAAGCTAATCATGAATAATTTGGTTATCTGCAAGACTGAGACTTAGTAAATTTTGTTATATCTGTCCAAAACCAATAAGCCATCCTATAGTTTAGGGCAGTGTGTAAACCCAACTAGACTTGGGCTGGTTTTTGGATTGTTCAATCTATTGCAGTTAAATTCTGGCTTAGTTTAGGAGTAGGCAATTGACAGTCTGCATGCAGTCTTTGGAGACCTCTAGACTGCAGGTCCCAGAATCCTCAACCAGTTGCCCTTCTGTAGCAATCCTGCTAAATTTAGAAGTCCAGGCTCTTGTTTTTCAGCCTCTCTCTGCACATCGGATTGCCTTGCACTGAGTTTCTAGTCAGTATTGGCAACACTGGTTGGCAGTGGCTCTTCAGGATTGTAACAGGAAATCTTCCCCTTCAGACTAGAGATTTAAAAGATTGATGACCGGATATTCAACATGCAGAGGATGCTGTATAGTAGGCCAAAGGGCTGTGGAAACAATCTTCATACAAAAAGGCAGGAGGGGATCATGTTCACAGAAAATTGATTATGAACAAGATTTTTTTAAAGTTTAGACTACCGTATTTTTCGGACTATAAGACGCACCAGTGTATAAGATGCACCAAGATTTTGAAGAAGTAAGTAAAACAAAAAAGTTTTTGTCCTCCCCAGCTCCCAGGAACACTCTGCAGGCTTTAGCACAGCTGGAGGAAGGCAAAAATGCCTCAGTTTTGGTGAAAAACGACCCGTTTTTTGCAAAAATGGGATTTGGGAGGCCAAAAATGGCTGCATTCGGTGTATAAGACGCACCAACATTCCATGGTCTTTTTGCGGGGTGGGGGGGNGTTTGCTAGCAATTGCAAAACTTACAATAGCTCACGGCACTCATATCAGGTCAGCCCAGCATCTAACGAACACAGAGAGAGAGCTAACAGTCATTCTGGCTCCCTCTTATGGCCGATTGAGGAAACAGCACCCAATCACATTTACGGTATAGTTTAAAGAAACAGGTACAGCACTGTTACATGATTTATATATTGCCAACCCAACCGTTAGAATTATATTCCTAACAGCCATCACTGCCCCATACCTTAGAGAGGATTGCCATATAAGCCAAAATTATCTATCTTGGGATAATGTTGCCCATATTCTGATATGAAGCCGTCTTTAAACCTTTTCTTTTGATTTATGATATTGCAATATTTTTAATATAGAAATGAACATGCAGAAACCATACAAACACTTGCTTGCTCATCCTAGGTAATTAAGTTTCTGTAGAGAAAGTCAGTAGGAGCACAATCCAGGTGATTCTCCAGAAACTCTTCTGATTGTGTGGAAGAGGCATTTTCTAACAGTAGTTCTATTTCTGGATACGTAGTCAGTGCAAGATAATTGCTGCTTTTGAATTCCAGGAGATTTTGTTCTTTCTCATATGTTGTCTAGCTTCTTTTGTGAACATGCTAAGAGAGATCGTCCAGAAGGTTGCTCTGAAGCTCCACCAATTTGTGAAGAATGGCCTGCTTTGTTTCTCATTCTCAGAGATGCTGGGACTGTCCAGAATCATCATCAGTTTGGTTGAGAATGAATGGAGACTCAAACTAAACAAATCAGTGGTGTTCTCAGTGGCCAATTTAGCCACCTAAGTGTGGGATGATGAGTTTGCTGTAGATGGGACTCACATTCTCTTCACGATTCATATTTATGAGTGACTCAAGTGATTCTTGTGGCTTAAAGCATCTTTCCCATATACCAACTTTAAGCCTATCTGACTTGGAAAAAAAGTGACAATTATCTGTGCTTCGGTAATCGTCTGTTTTCCTCACTGCAAAATACCTACTGTGTGCAATTACCCATAACATGGATGAAATTTCAGTTGGTCTAGAATAGAATTGCTACATCCTTAAAACAGAACCCAGTATTTCAAATAAAAACTGGTGCTTTCTCAGCTGCCCCAACTCTCAGGTTGCATCCAGGTCCAGTTTCAAAATACCAGTCCTCAATTATAAAACTTTACAAAATGCTACCTTTAATTTATCTGAACACTGAGATTTTCTTCAGAGATCCTAGTTCAAATCTCTGTCAACTGAAGTGTTGTGGTTAAAAAAGGATCTCTTTGTTAGTGATACCTACTTGTGGAACATTTTTCTCAGAGAAGTTGTGACACCGAATGAAGATTTTTATATCATTACAGATAGTTCTCAACTTACAACTGGTCACTTAGCAATCATTCAGTATTACGATGGATCCCCCAAAAGCTACTTATGATTTGGATTTGAAGTTCTGATGACTGGCACTCCACATGCAGTCATGTGTATTTTTGAATACTAATCAACCAACCTCATTTACAGTCATTTGCCGCATTCTGGTCACATGAGCACAATTTATGACATTTTTGCTGGAAACTGAAGTGTTATGGGAACCTTTCTTAACAACACTTCAATTGACTGATTTGTTTACTTAAGGTTGGCTAAAAAAGGCCTAATAGCAAGCAATTATTTATGTTACATTTGTTTAATGATTCCTTCAAAAATTGTTCAATCAAGTGCAATTATATGATCACCTGCTTAATGACCATTATGGCCTACGACTGAAATTATGGGCTTAGTTATGGTTATAACTCAAGGTCTACCTGTAATGTAATTGTTTTGTGTCATATTTCATATTACTTTTACTTGTTTGGCTTTGTGTTTTCAGATTTTTTATATTTGATGTTTCTTTATTTTATTTTAAGCCATCCATAGACCCATTTCTGAAAAAAAGATGTGATAAAAATCCAGTAAATAAATCCATGGTTTGCATAATTGAATATTCAAGAGGATCTTTAATGGGAAAAATAAGTCCAATATTTTGAAGAGTTTTTATTGAGTTGGCTTTTTCTTCTTACGTTTTCCATTTGGATTAACTGTTCAGTTGTTCAATTATTGGGTACTAAAATGCACCCTTCCCTCATATTGATACTAAAGCTTTTTTCTCCATTCCGACCGCAATTAATCCTAAAGTAATTTACTTAATCCATATGAATTATTTTAAATGGCCAATGCAAGGGCTATATTACAGTATGTTAGCATTTATGTTCTCCCGAAATGTTCAATAGAATGAGCAGTAAACAAAGAAAAGTTAAAGAGTGACTGACATTATTCTGAATTGAAGATTTGCCTTTTTGTGCTTATAATCAAATGCTGCCTTGGCTTTTTGTGTCACTCAGCAGATGTTATATATATGACCAAAACCTAATTTCCAGCTTCAGTAATATTAATATTGTTGGGATTTTGTTTAATTCCATCCACCTTATAAATATGTTTCAATCTGGACGGAGTAACTGTAATATGTTATATTTTCAGTACAAAAGGATACTGTTGTTTTTTCATTGCAGAATTTGGTGCATGCTAAAATAATTTTGTACCCTTACTAGTGTTTCCTACATTCCCCCACGTGAAGCATGAAGCCTGTACATATCACAACTATGATATCACAACTATTTCCATTTAACAATCCTATTTATTTCTTTTGTTTAGGGTTACAATAAAGCTTTAGTCAAACTCAAACTGAAGAGACAGTCACCAGAGACAGAAGATGTATATTTGAAAAAGTGGGTATCAAATTTTAGGCATACTGCCACTTTTCTTTAATTTTCTAGCTAATTTTCTTATTCATAGATATGATCCTAAAGGATGGTAGATACCAATGTTTTTGTTCCACTCAGTGAGACCCTTCAGGATAGATGAGGAAGCATCCTGATGTGCAGCTAAGTCAGAGAACGAGACTTTTAAAGGCCATTAAGGCAGGTTGGGATTTCCAAGGTTATATCCCACAAAAAGCTCTCAAGATGCTTCCAGGCAACCACAAAACACTCATTTACCAGCAAACCAATGTGATTGCATCTCTCTAGCCTTCAGGAGGTCCCTCTTATTTCAGCTTATTGTTGTTGTGTTTCTGAGCAGGTGAGAGCTTTTTGAAATAAGCCACTCACTGTCTTGCTTTCTAAAACTACCTGTATCATCACAAGATCTATACTATTATTGGAAGTAAAGATTATATGTGATTCTGGGTCACAACAGAAGACTCGCCTTATCATATCATTATGGACCATTCCCACTTCCCACTCTTGACAGCCAGTTGGGACTGGATCCTTTACCTGTTCTCATTATTTCAAACCCGTCCATTGACCTAAAAAGTTGGAAAACCTGCCTACCTAAGTCCAAGATAGAAAACCACAAAGAAGCCATGGCTTTCTATCAAACATCACACTAACTAAACCACAACTGCAAACTGTAAATCCAAATCATCATTTCAAAATTTAGCTTCTTAAAACGAGAACATGGACCTAATTCAACTAAGGGCTTTCTGCTGCTTGTGGCTTAAAGAGTGTTTATGGTATCATCCTGACCATTCCTATAGTCCTATCAAGGCAGAAGAAATTGTGAAATAGCGTAAAAATAAAGGACACAGTGGCTCAGTGTCTAAGATGCTGAGCTTGTCGATCAGAAAGGTCAGCAATTTGGCAGTTCGAATCCCTAGCGCTGCGTAACTGAGTGAGCTCCCGTTACTTGTCCCAGCTTCTGCCAATCTAGCAGTTCAAAAGCATGTAAAAGCGCNTTTTTTGCAAAAATGGGATTTGGGAGGCCAAAAATGGCTGCATTCGGTGTATAAGACGCACCAACATTCCATGGTCTTTTTGCGGGGTGGGGGGGAGGTGCGTCTTATACTCAGAAAAATACAGTATGTGCAGATTTAGTTGAAATAAGCCCGAAGGGCTTGCTTCTGAACAGATGTGTATAGGTCTTGCCTGGAAATAAAATTCAAAATACTATTCAAAATAATACTCTGTATGTCTAAATGTCATCAAGTGATGTGACAGTTGATTTTGTTACGTTTTCTTTGGAAAGAGAGATGTAAAACCAAATAAGATAAACACACTTTTCCCCACGGCGTAGATGATTTCCCATTCTGCCCATGAGCATTCAGATATGTTAAACTCCTTGTAAATGATTTTCAAAGGATGGGTTTGTTCTACGAAAAAGCAAATGAATAACTTCTTTCATGTAATATAGTTTTTAGAAGGCCCACTTCTGGATGGGCTTTATTGGAACACCTGGTATACTGAAAATTCCACAAGTACCTACAGAAACAGTAGCCATATCTACTATGAGAACTTACTCCTTGGAGTAGCTCAGATCCGGCAATTGAAAGTCCGTAACAACACTTGCTCCGTTTACCCTTCTTTTCGTGCATTTATGAGAGAATGCTACGGGAAGTATAGCTACAACCATGAAGACAGAGAAAGCTTTGGCTTTAAAAATGATACTGCGTAAGTATAAATTGCATCTCAGGTTTGTTTAGTCCCCCCCCCCCTCCCGATGCCTTCATTTCACATGTAGTTTAACAAACTCAGGTTGATCGTGGGATTTGAATTCCTCTCAGACAAAATCCCGTTATTTCATTATTTAAATTGTTCAAACTCCAAAACAATGCATGCTTGTGAGCTGATTTAATAACTTCTGCTAAGCTCAAGTCCGAAATTTCTGTTGCTAAGCAAGATAGTTATTGTGAGTTTTCCCCATTTTACAACTTTTCTTACCACAATTGTGAATTAATGCAGTTGTTAAATTAGTAATATGATTGTTAAGTGAATCTGGTTTCCTCATTGACTTTGTTTACTAGAAGGTTGCAAAAGGTGACCATGTGACTCCAGGATACTGCAACCACCATAAATATGAATTGCCAAGTATATGAATTTTGATCATTTGACCATGGAGCAATGGGCTTAAGTTTGAAAAATGGTCATAAGTCACTTTTTTCAGTGCTATTGTAACATCGAATGGTCACTAAATTAATTTTTGTAAGTTGAGGACTGCCTGTACTTTGGTCCTGAGTGTGTCTTGCTCCTTACCTGCATCTGTATGGGGAGAAGGACTTCCATTTGCACCAATGACAAATGCTTTACTATTTACAGTTGGAAAGCTGTGAAATTTAACTGTAAAAGATTAGATTCACATTCTTCTGTCCACCAGGTGGCACTACTACACTTCTGCTACTCTAGCTCCCTGGCATTGGGGCCTTATTGGCCTATATAATACCGGAGGATTTATGTTCATCCTGAGTAAATCAAAGAACCAAAGTTTACATATGGTGACCTTCCTCAAGGAACACAGCTGGATCACCCGAGGAACAAGGGTTGTCTTCATTGATTTTTCAATGTACAATGCTAATGTTAACCTCTTCTGCATAGTCAGGTGAGCTCCTCCAGTCCCTCTGTTTTATGTATGTCCTACTTTTGAGAGTAATTTACTGAAATACCTGCATTGTTGGGGATGACTTGATTGGGTTCCACTTGAAAAGTCCTCATTAAAGCAACATGCTAAGTTGAGACTTTCAAGCAGTTACAGTTTCGACTGGACATAACGATTGTACCCAGATATTTCCTTCAGCCATTTCTTGTAGACACTCTCCTTCATTCAGGTGTCTTCAGGTCTAGAGCTTCTCCATCTCTTAATTCCCATTTACATATCGAGCTTCTACTTTCTTCTAGAACATACTCTTCAAAATTGCAGTACACACCTCATTCTTCTGCTTCTTCCTGCTTGTTGCATACTGTCAATTCAACACTCAACTTCTTCATTCTGGACTCCTGGCATCACCCCTGCTTTAATTGTTCCTTAGCGCCCCATGCTTCTGTTGAGCTGTCTTCCTTAAGTCGGGAATTCCATGAAGATCGCCTTTCTATTAGGTTATGCTGTTGTTGTTTTTTTTCTTTTTTATTTGGCTATCTATACACCAAATCATTATCATCAAAATTCATATTACCGAAATTTGTATAATTAGAAATGAACAAATTGCTATAATCATTAGTCGTGCAAAGTTGAAATAACAGGAACACCATTATTCTTGGGGTGGATTTTTGTCATATTTTCATTTGGCTTAGGAGGTAGGACATCACCCACCATCTTCCGGATACACAAAAGGCATCTTTTGTTTTCCTTACATAGGCTGACTATGGAGTTTCCTGCAACAGGTGGCATAATCCCTTCTTGGCAGTTCCACTCTGTAAAACTTCTCAGATACGTCACCTATTATGATTATTTTCTAGCCTCCTGCGAAGTCATCTTCTGTCTTTTCATCTTCACATTCCTCATTCAAGAGTTTATAAAAATGCGGAAACTGAAAGGAGATTATTTTAGAAATGCTTGGAATTGGCTGGATATGTTATTGCTCTTGGTAAGTTTCAGCATTTCCATGACATTGATGTAGAAAATGGGTTTTTTTAAACTGATGCCAAGGTGGATAAGAGGAGGGTAGAAATCTGCCTGCCTACCTACCTACCTACCTACCTATTTTATTTATTTATTTATTTATTTATTTATTTATTTATTTATTTATTTATNGGCAGTTCGAATCCCTAGCGCTGCGTAACTGAGTGAGCTCCCGTTACTTGTCCCAGCTTCTGCCAATCTAGCAGTTCAAAAGCATGTAAAAGCGCAAGTAAAAAAAAATAAGAACCACCTTTGGTGGGAAGGTAACCGTGTCCTGTCCGCCTTCATTGTTCAGTCATGCCGACTACATGATCATGGAGATGTCTGACAGTGCTGGCTCTTCGACTTTGAAACGGAGATGAATACCGCCTCCTAGAGTCGGGAACGACTATGTATATATGTGCGAGGAGAACCTTTATCTTTAGCATAAAAATAACCGGTCATCCCTCATTATAGCATTGTACAATATATGGACACCGAGACCTCTTTCTCATCCCTTACCTCCCCCCATGCCTTAGTAATTAATGTATTCACTCACAAGTCTCATTTGAGATTCTGAGCTGCTGTAATACCTGATCTGCCTTCTTATAAGTATATTGGTGCTTCAACATCTGTATGAAGCTGTTGGAAGAGGTCATTTGGTAGTCTACAATGTAATATTGTCAATCTTCAGCTTTATATTGCAATCCTGGGCTCAGTTCGAAAAGCCACGGATATTTTGCCCAGGCATCTGGAAACTGTTGGAAACCCAATGGGGTTAAATAAGTTGAAATTGATCCCTAGCAATATAGAGTTGCTGTTTGCACATCATGGTTCCCTTCCAGCTCCAGGTTGTCTCTCACCAAGGTGGAACTGCACCTGAGATAACAGGACCACAGAATCCTTTTCTACACATAGCTACTGCTGAATGGCCAAGCAAGACGTTTTCTATGCCAATTGCAACTCTTCCTGGAACCCTAGACCTGAATTCAGTAACTGCTGTCATTAACACATTTTGTCGGAATTTCTGTAAGAGGCTCTACAGGGGTTGCTACTGAAGACCACACAAAATCTTCCAATTAGTCCAAAATGCAGTGGCTCACTCCTTGACCAAAAGTTGCTAATTATCCTGATCATTATTTCATTTTTTCTGTGGGCCCTCCATATGTTTCTAAGTGTAATTCAAATAATCAGGTTTATGTAAGGTAGCCCTGTGTGGCTTGGGGCCAAGAAACCTTTTTATGTTTATATTGTATGTTTCTGCTGTTAGCTTACAAAGTCTGTGAATGGAATAAATGTCATATAAATCGAATAATAATAACAACAAATGATAGAACTAAATGTGATGAATGCTATTTTAAATTCATACATTGCACATTTATTTATAAGTCCTCTAAGTTCATGGTGCTTGGGTTTTCTTTGCCAATTAAAAACAACCAATAAACTAAGCTAGTGAATGCCTCGAATGAACTACACAAGTACATTTCGAGGGCAAACTGAGTAGGTATCATGCTACGATGGAAGGAGTCAATCTTTGTTGTTTGCATTTAATATTTTCCTATCCTCATTTACACCCACAATCTCGACTTCATTGGTTGCTGACTATGAGGAATGGAAAATGTTGAAGGCAATAGCATTATATCAACTTGAAATAGATGTCACTGTGAGATAGAAAGACAGTAGCAGCTGCCCGGGGTGGGGGTGTCAAAACAGTCAGTCTGATCAAAACATGCACATCCAGAAAGGGCCTGAGCTGCTTTCGCAATGATGCAATGGAGTTTTCTCATTTTTGACACAACAGCAGGAGCAGCAAACTCCCCAGGGAAAAAGATAAAGCAAACAAGAGGCAATCTTTATGGATTAAAGCCTATGATCACTCCTGTCTAGTAGAAACAAGCATATCCACTACTTCAATTTAGATTAATTTCATCAGGACCTCTCTCTCTCTCTCTCTCTCTCTCTCTTTTGTAGTGTATGAGCATTAAAATGTTGTGTCTAAATAAATTCTTGGGTTTTATTCCCCCTTTGCATGACCATATCTAGATTGGATACAAGTAGAGATGTCTCCAGAATTGGTGACAAGGTAAGAGTCATATGCTTCTTTTCTTTTGCCCCCACAATGTCATGTGATAGATTTAAAAAACACACCATGCACTCCGTTCTAAATGGGGCTGGACCATATTTGGGGTCAACAGCCCCAGGCCTGCCAGAACAGCCAGTTTTAATGGCTTTCCGGAAGGCCGAGAGAGTGGGAAGGGTCCGGATCTCTGCGGGTAGATCATTCCACAGGGCCGGGGCAGCTACAAAGACCTCCCACAAGTAGTCGCCAACCGGCATTGCCCAGTCGACAGTACTTGAAGGAGGCCCAGCCTGTAAGATCTTATAGGTTGTTGGGAGGTATGTGGCAGGAGGCGGTCCCACAGATATCCAGGTCCCAAGCCATGTAGGGCTTTAAAGATAACGACCAGCGCCTTGAAGCGCGTTCGGAGACCATGGGAAGCCAGTGCAGCTCGCGGAGGATAGGTGTAACGGGTGTACCTAAATACACCCCATATCGCTCGGGCGGCCGCATTCTGGACCAATTGTAGTCTCCAAACACTCTTCAGGGGCAGCCCCAAGTAAAGCGCATTACAGTAATCAAGTCTAGAGGTGATGAGAGCATGAGTGACCATTTGAAGTGCCTCCCGGTCCAGCTAGGGCCGCAACTGGTGCACCAGGCGAACCTGGGCAAAAGCCCCCCCTGGTCACAGCCGACAGGTGGTATTCTAATGTCAGCTGAAGATCCAGGACGACACCCAAGTTGCGGACCCTCTCTGAGGGGCGAAGAGTTTCGCCTCCCAGGCTGAGAGATGGAATATCTGGTCCGTTCTTGGGGGGCAACATCAATAGCCACTCGGTCTTGTCTGGATTGAGTGCCAGCTTGTTTACTCCCATCCAGACCCTGACAGCCTCCAGGCACTGGCACATCACTTCTACCGCTTCGCTGAGTTGGCACGGGGCGGACAGATACAACTGGGTATTCGTCCGTGTATTGGTGATATTTGATCCCGTGCCGACGAATGATCTCACCCAGTGGCTTCATGTAGATGTTAAATAGGAGGGGGGACAGGACAGAGTCCTGAGGCACCCCATATTTTAGGGGGCTAGGGTCGACCTCTGTCCTCCAACCAACACCGACTGCAACCTATCCGAGAGGTAAGAGGAGAACCACCGTAACACGGTGCCTCCCACTCCCACCTCTTCCAATTGTCGCAGAAGGATACCATGGTCGATGGTATCGAAGGCTGCTGAGAGGTCAAGAAGCACCAGAATAGAAGAATGTCTTCTATCCCTGGCCCACCAGAGATCATAGGTCAGCACGACCAAAGCAGTTTCGGTGGAGTAACCAGGCCTGAAACCCGACTGAAAGGGATCCAGATCTAATAGAATAGGCATGTTCATCTAGAGCACGGGTGTCAAACTCGGCACGTGTCACGTTGCTGTCATGTGACATTTCGCTATGTTTTTCCCTTTTGCGGAGCTGGGATGGGCATGGCCTGTGTGTGACTCATCCTGCTCATGGGCTGCCAGTTTGACACCCGATCTAGAAAGCTACATTTGGCAGGTACCTTTTGTGCCATGATGTTTGTATTGAGGAATCTCCCCCCCCCCCCCCGGAGATGTGGTCAGCCTCATCATTCCCAAATTCCCTCAAGATCTGGTTATGCAAATAGGCGGGTCTACCAAATTCCTCCTTCTATTGTTTTTCTTATTTAGTTCTGCTTTTATAGTTTTTAATGTTTTTAAATAAATGCAAGTTTTTTTAGGTCATAATTGTTTTATATTTATTGTTTTATTGGATTGTTTTGCGTCGGCCAAAGTCACTTTCTGTGAGATAGCAACCATACACATTTAATAAACAAACAAAATCTGCCAATAACAGAGATAATAAGAGTTTCTCTTTTCTTTTGAATCCTGTCATCATATTGACCAATTCTCTTTGCAGGATCTCATGAGGCATCAGATTTCTTCTGGACAGTATGACACAGTTTCTGCAAGGGACTTTCAGAGGTTTGTTTAAATCATAACCCCAGTGGTCTTCAGTCTTTGTAGACTTAGGGTTCACCTTTTAGATCACAGGAGATCAACTTGAGGTCCCCAATTTGAGGTTCCACATTTAAAGTGGAATCTTCACGCAAAATATAATTCCTGGCACAATCGTAATATATTTTATAAAATGAAACTCCCAAACTGAAATATCAACAAATCTTGGCTCTTAGATATCATTATGTTGTCAACCAAATGCAAATTTAGGGATCTAGCTTTTAATTCATACCATATATTTGTCTAGTTGTAATGCTGCAGTTAGCAACTGTTAATGCTAATTGTTTTAGATCAGGTGTTCTCCTTTGATACAAAGTTCTTAGAAAATTCAACTGAGGCATTTTGGGTTCAAAAGAAAATGGCTTTTGGTTGTTAAAGTACAACAAAAGTGTTCAGTTTATATATATGTAGCATATATAGCTCCTAATGTATATAAAATGTATATTTTTACAATATTATTTGGGGGGGAAAGATTTAGGTTGCAGTTCTGTGCCTATTAATCTGAAATTTTCATTGAACTCAATGAAATTTACATTTACACAATGAATTCAATGGAATTTGTATCTGAATCAGTATGTACTATTAGACTGCTAAGTGACTAACCAGTTTTCTTCTGGTTTTTCGGAATTTTATGCCGAATGGGTAGCTATCAGCTTCACCAAGGCAAAAATTCCAAAACTCCCTCAATCTCCTTTGTTATTTTGTTTTAGACTTTCTAGATATGCAGAGGATTTGGAAAGACAACTGAAGGAGGTAAATTATAAGCTGGACACAGTTATGAGAACTCTCCCTCCAACTCAATACCAACAGATGAACTAGCAAGAGGTGAGGATTTGTTCTAATATTGGCCCCTGGTACAGTGAGAAGCTAAGGTGTGAACTGAGGGGGGGGGGGAGGAGGATGCACATCTTTGAGTACTTGCTTCCCCAGGACTTTCCCATTTCTTGTCCATTGTTAAAAAACAAAAACATGTTTGCTATAGATCAGGGGTGTCAAACAGGCTGGATACATCACATGCAGACCACGCCCAACGTGGCTCCACAAAGGCAAAAACGTCACAATGTCATGTGATGCAATCAGATTTGACACCCGTGCTGCACATTAATTCACTGGCCCAGTGCTAGAAATGCTACATTCCTGCAGTGGTGTGTTGTAAATATTCTAAGGCAAATAATTTGGAGATGATCTCCTAAAATTAATATGAATTGTAACAGCAAACTTTTTTAGCAGCAGAAATATTTATAATTAGTAACTATATTTTCTGTATTTGGTTATCAAAGGCAGCTCTTAAACGTATTTCATCTCGCTGAGCCCCAGCTCAAGTTGGCATCATTTACTCTAAACAACATACCGGATTTTTCTTCGGCATAGTAATGAAAAACTGATGGAGGTCAAAGCAGTACTTAACAGCTGAAATTCATAAATTTATCTCTGAACTTTTTAAACACACAGAATTTTTACAAAACATTTCATGTGCAAACAATTCTAGGAGTTTAAAAAGGAATCATTTTCCTTAGTCACATAGTTCATCCCTATTGCTCTTGCAGGGACTGAGGTGTGTGGGCAGATTACATGGTTTATTGTTTATGCGAACACACTTTGAATTAGGTACAAATTATACAAGGTTTTCGTGCTTTGGTTTTTAACATTACTTGTACAGGTATGTCAACCAAGTCCATAGTTATTTCATGTTCTGATTGAGCAAATTAATTACTGTAAACAAAAAAATATTAAATGTTGCAGGATTGCTCTTTGAAATGGGAAGTAATTGGCAATATATGATTTTTTTCCACCATGGGCAAATATTTATGTCTGTTATAAATGGCAGGAACATGCTTGCTTTTGCTTAAATTTAAGACAAAGTCACGCAGTAAATTTAATTCTCCAGCAAATTTAAGTGCTGCATATCAAATATATTGGAGATAATGAGAGGTGTTTTTTTTTTAATCTACAACTGGCACCATATAAAAAGGGTACATTTTCTAAAGCAAAGAAAAGTTTGTAAGAGAGACTTATAGGCCGCTTTTCTATAACATCTTGACTTATAAAAAGAAAAATTGAAGTTAATTTCTAATCGCCTTCCAACTATTATCAGTTTGGATAAACCACTGTAGATAAACCACCAGAGAGAATTAGACTCAAACATTTTTTAAAACAAACTTTAAAAAAAAAACACCTAGCAACGCTTAAGAATTACACTTACCAAGATTTATAGGCAAAAATGTAAACAGTATGCGTGCGCACGCATGCACGCACACATACACACACAAAACACAAATATAAATATGACAATAGAAGTTTTTTTATTATAAAAATCTATACAATGAAATGCCAGACATAGCAATCATTCATATCTGGTTTATTTATATATATATATATATTTATATATCTATATATCGACATATAGTTTTTACTTATATGAAAGTAAAACTGTGTTATCACAAAATGCCTAATTCTACCATTTATTGCTCAATAAGATGGCACAACACACACTCTTA